CTCCCTTCCTTATCCCCTCCCCCAGCTCACTTCTCCGAAGGATACTTTGTAGTAGGTTTTTGGTCCATTTTTAATCTTTAAATTATATGTACAAAGGTACAGTACAGTGTTTCATGGGCTTAAGCATTTCTCAAATGACTGTGTACTAACTTCTGCCTTAAGATTTATCAGTGCGGGAGCTGGGGATTTAGCTCAGCAGCATAAGCACCTGCCTTACAAGTGCGAAGTCGAGAGTTTGATCCCCGGTACTGATAAAAGTTAAAAAAAAAAGGGGGGGGGAAAGATTTATCAGTGTGGATATATGCAGCTCTAGGGGAAAATTCTAGGATGAATGTAAAGGGCATTTTCTAGTTTTTCTGTTGTACAAAATGTTGGTGATGAATTTCTTTTTGTGTGCATGTGCCATTTCTCTTTAACAGGGAATCATCAAGTATGAAATTGATCCATCAGAGGATATGTACCCCTCTTTCATCCTTAGGTATTGTCAGGTTGTTCTTAAATGCTTGTTCTTATCTACACTCATCAGCTGCATGTGAGAGTCCTGCTTCTACCTCCCCCTTGAAAGCAGCTGATATTGTTGCACTTCATCTTTTTTTTTGTTTGGTCTTTTTCGTTTTTATCGGTACCAGGGATCGAACTCACGACTGCCTGCTTGCAAGGCAGGCGCTTATGCCGCTGAGCTAAATCCCCAGCCCCTGAAAGATGATTTTTAGTATTTTTATTTGTCTGATTAGTGGTAAGGTTGAGTACCCTTCTTGGCCTGTTCATATCTTTGCTCATTTTTCTGTTACATTTTTATATCTTTTTGTGGTGCTTTATGAACTCTCTTTTTTTTTTTTCTTTCTATTTTTTTTCCCCTTGGCACCAGGAATCAAACCCAGGACCTTGCTTTCACCAGGCAGGTGCTGTATCTCAGAGCTGTATCCCTGATACCCTCCTCGTTTTCATAACTGCCAGTGCAGGTCTTTCCCTTGGCATTTGGGGATGTGGAGCTGAGACAGACAGACTGGTGTTAATATGGGGTGTGGTGGGAGTCAGCGTTCTGTGGCCTGCTAGCAGTAGAGTGACATAGGTCCTTCTCTGAGAGATACTGATATGTTTCCTGGACACGGTTTCCATTGTGTTCCTAAGGACCGTGTGGGCCTCATCCTGGTTTCTGTAGCCTTACACTTTGAGTGCTTTGAGTACGTCTTATCTTTTTTTTTCCGCCTCCCATGACTGAGGATGAAAACTCAGAGCCTTGCGGCTGGGGATTTAGCTCAGCGGCATAAGCGCCTGCCTTGCAAGTAGGCAGTCGTGAGTTGGTTCGATCACTGGTACCGATAAAAAGGAAAAAGACAAAACAAACAAACAAACAAACAAAAAAAAACCAACCTCAAAGTCTTCTGCAGATTCTTAACCACTGAATTCCCTCCCCAGACCAAGCTATATATCTTTACTGTCTTGCTTGGAATATATATGTATCTATGTGTATATATATATATATATATATATATATATATATATGTGTGTGTGTGTGTGTATTTTTTTGTATTTCTATATACTAATTAAAAGAAGTATCTTTTTTTAATTGTTGAGGGCTATTTAAACAGATATTAAAATTTAAGGTCATGGTAGTTCGATTAGCTTTTTGTGCAGAGAGGTAGATTTATTTTAGTATTTAAATTTTTAGTGGCGTAGTTTTCTTGCTGAGTTTATTATTTTTTTAAGGTAGTGATTTTATTTTGACTAAGTACATTACCCTCAAGTTCGTAGCATACTTGAACATTGTCATACTGTAGAATCTTTTTTTCTTTTGTCCCTTGGAAATGGTTTTGTTTTGTTTTGGAGCCAGGCTCTCACGGTCACTGTATAGTGCAGGCTGGCCTTGAACTTGCTTATGTAGCCCAGGCTGGCCTCGGCTGATGGTGATCTTCCTTACTGCCTCAGCCTCTCTGGTGCTAGGATTACAGCACCATGTGTCACCATGCCTGGCTGCTGGTAGTCTTTTCTGAGTTGTCAGTTTAACTCTAAACTTACATATAATTAAATCTGGTTTGCCCAGAGGATGAAATCTGTCCCTCACACCGGCATGTTGTATTTGAGGTCTACTGTAGGTGATCTTGTTCAGTGGTCCTTTGGGACACTTAACTCATGCATCAGATGTCTCTGTGCTAGACAGGATCCCAGGAGTTTCCAGAATGGAAACAAGGTATCTAAAGCCACTCCCCCTACAGAATAAGTTGCAAGTTGTCTAAGTCCCATCACCATGAAAAAAGGATTTCCAGACACTTCTCAGTAAAGGGCATGAAATGTGGGGCAGGTGGGATATGGGGAAGAGAAAGAGAAGAAAAGAGAGAGAGATTGATTGGCTTTGACTGAGAGAGACCCAGACCTATGGAAAAGGTGACCCCACTCCCCAGAAGGGTACCGGACCATTTTACAGTTATGAGCCCTGTCCGTCTCTCTCCTTTCTTTCTAAGAGGAATAATTTAAACATTCCTTACATTCTCTCAGGCTGTTCCTTTACCTTAAGATTAGGTCCCTGTTCTTTACTTTCTAAGCTAAGCCCCTTTCTGGACCTCGAATATCCCGAGGAAGTTTGGGTGTGATGGATCTGGAAGGAAGGAGCCTGAGTTAATCAGGGGAATACAGAATCACCTCACGTGACTTGATTGGTTGCAGAAGTTGCAGTCTATTTTTTCCTGTGGTTTTTTTCCCCCCTGAGTTTGTTTATTTATTTATTATTATTATTCTTTTGTTTCAATTTTTGAGGCAGGATCTACAGTAGACCTCAATACAGTTCTCATGTAGCTCAGGCTGGCCTTGAACGTACACTGACCTTCTGAAAGTACAGTTTTTTAGTCATGATTTTCTTGTCTCCTCTTTCTTGTGAGCCCTTTGTGGTGTCTGTGTGTCCTTAGAATTGCAGGGCCAGTTTCCTGAGTTGGGTATTGTTTCTCCAGAGTGCCCTACGTGGGCGCACCGGACTTGCCGCCACGCACCCTCATACTCCTGCCTTTAGACTCTGGGCTCCCACTTCCCCCATTCGGTAAGCTTTCTGCACCTCTGGTAACTGAAGGGCTTCAGGACTTGAATGGCAGTGTGTGAGAGAGGAAGGAGCTCACAGAGCCATTTCCACCCTAGAGCCTTTTCTTTTCATCTTGTTGCTTCCACCTGCCTTTCTGAGGAGAAGACAGTCAGTGCCAGCTTCATTGTTCGTTTGTAAAATTGGAGATTTGAGATAATTTAGTTTTAGAAATATTTGTTTGTGTTTACTTACGTTGGAGTAAACCAACAGTGGGATCAGTTGTTGGCTTTGAGAGGATTCTATAGCTGATGCACTTGGAGAGCATTTCTTTTGGAGGGGATGCTCCTGGAGGGCAGGTGATTGGAGTGGTGTAAGGTGGATTTCTTTTCCGTAGTTGACTCAAGGGTGCTGGGATTGCAGAGTGTGCTGCCACACCCAGCTGCAGCTGATTGATTACTCGAGTTTTCTTCTTGTAGCAGGTTATTAGTTAACAGTTTTAGGTTTTCCTTTCAGTGGAGAGTCACAGCTGTTTGGTATTTTCTCCTTGTAACAGAGTTATGTGTTTTGAAGTTACCTGGTACAGAATTTTATTAAAATGACTTAAGAATGTACATGCACTTTTCAGTTTCTGACCTCTTTTGTATTGTACAGAATTTTGACCCCACCTGCATTCTCTTGAAAAAATTTTGAACTAGTGTATAATCCAGAGGTGTTTCACTTACTGTCTTGAGACTTTTTTTTGAGACTTTTTTTTTTTGGTCTTCTTCCTTTTTATCGGTACCGGGGATCGAACTCATGACTGCCTGCTTGCAAGGCAGGCGCTTATGCCGCTGAGCTAAATCTCCAGCTCTGAGACATTTTTCAGATGAAACAAATTTAGTAATATAGTTCTCTCAACATTAGTAACAGACTAGTTGCCAGATGTGGTGCGTGCCTGTAATCTCAAAACACTAAAAGGCTGACAAGAGGATTGCAAATTCAAACTTAACCTGGGCAATTTAGTGATTTAACAAGACATGGCCACAAAATAAAAAAAGGCCAGTTTGTGGCCCAGTGCAAAGGCTCTCAAACTGCAACAAACAAGAGAACCAAAAAAACTGGTTAGATCAGTTTTTTTTTTGTGTTCTTTGAAAATAATACTGGAAATAGTGTTGTGATTCATACATTGTGTTAACTTGAGAAGGAAGTTTAACTGAGAGACTCAGCAGGGAGCCAGGATCCTTACTTTGTAAACATCCTCAGCCTGTACAGGAGGAGGGCAGGGAGATTTTGGGAGTGTTTCACGGACCCTGGGGTGTGGGGGTGGCCAGTGTATATAAGGGACAAAAAGAGGCTTGTTTTCCCCCTTTGCTCTGACTGCTGCCCTGAAATGCTGCCGCAGTGCTATGTGACTCTGCTTTGGAGCCAGCTGATTATGGATTGAAATCTCCACAGAATGAGCAAACAAACCTTTCCTCTCATTTTTGGGTGTTGGGTGTTTTGTCCCAGCAACAAGAGTAAAGTAAAAGAACCAAGACAAGTAGTAACTAGTTTCTGAATTATTTGCTTTTTGATACCTGGGATGGAACTCACCACCTTGTGCTTTCTGGCAGGCACTTATGCCATTAAACTAAACCTTTGATGTTTCTGAATTATTTCATGTGTTTCTCAGCAGTGTCTTTTCTGTGAGAAGTTGGGATTCCAGATAAAATTCTTAACATTGGAAACTTCCTTGTGCATATGTGGTGATTATATGAACCCTTCTTGATGATTCAGATAGTGATAGAAATCTTTGTGCCTTTTAAAAATTGTTCGATGTTTTATTTTTAAGGTATTGCCATCAGAGAGTCAGCAAAGGTAGTTGACCAAGCCCAAAGGAGAGTGTTGAGGGGAGTTGATGATCTTGACTTTTTCATAGGAGATGAAGCCATCGACAAACCTACCTATGCTACAAAGGTAAATTCTTCCAGTGGCGTGCTTGTTTACATGTAGAGGCAAGGACAGAGCAGCAGGCTGGGCTTGGTGGCGCACACCTGTAATCGCAGTGCTTAGGAGGCTGAGGCCACAGGATTACTGTGAGTTTGAGGCCAGCCTGAACTACATACCGAGACTGTCTCAAAAAGACCAAAAAATAAAACAAAAACAAAAACAAAAAAACAAAAAAAAACCCCAAGTTGTCTAGAAATTTTGTCTAAATTATGAGCTGTGGAATGTGGTTTTACCTTCTTGGATGAACAGGGGTGGCTGAATGGGTGCATTTGTGAGTGGAGACCCAAGTGAATTAACAAAGCCCTGGATTGCAGAACTGAATCAGGGAATACTACTGTCACATGTGGATGCAAGATCTCCTCTGGAAATTGAAAGTTGACTCATGATCCTGTCAGAGCTGGAAAACTGCAGGTTGACTGAGAAGCAGCACCTTCACTGTTAATTGGGGAGTTCTTACACAGAAGAGACCAACGCCTGCACCAGATAACTGGAGTGGCAGATGAGCGGCCTCCGTGCCCCCCGACAGGTGGTTCCTGTCCAGTGTAGAGGGTGTAGAGGTTGCACAGTGGGCTGTGCTCTGGGGTGCAGCCTCACTGGCTAACGCACCTGCTGGCGCTTCTTGGCAGTCATGCACGTAACGTCTGATAGGGCGCCTGTATTCCTGAGGAGCATGGGTTCCTCTGCGTCTGTGCTGTTAAGCTGTTATTCTCGCTGTTGTAAACCAGAGCCGGACATGTTTGTGTTTTTTCCCTCAGTGGCCGATACGACATGGAATTATTGAAGACTGGGATCTTATGGAAAGGTTCATGGAACAAGTAGTTTTTAAATACCTTCGAGCTGAGCCTGAGGACCATTATTTTTTAATGGTGAGTGACTGGAACTAAGAATATAACTCTGTAAATTCCAAATTGCTTAGATTTTAAGCTTACAGTAAGTACTCTTTCCTGGGGAGTTTCTTAGTTTCTTCTAAAGGGGTTTGCATGAATCACCTGCTTTTTTTGCAAGCAACAGAAAGCTCAGTAAAAATGTACTGAACTAAAAGAACAGGGAGGCCAGGTTAGGCATTCTGGGGCTCCTGGTGTCAGCTCTGGAAGGTAGAACCCCTTTTAATTGACAGCTTGTCTAGGTTCCCTTTGGGCCCCAGGATAGTTGCCTGATTTTCTCTATCACTGTTTCTGCTCACATGTAGCAGAGGTTTCCCGTGTACACTGGCTTGTGAGAGGCTTGAAACCCTTTCCTAGCAGCTTTACCCCACCTGCTTAGCCCACCCTGGTCCCTTGAGGGAGGAATAGCTTGCTTGGCCTGGTGTGGGCTAAGCAGGATTTTTTCCCCTGGCCTGAGGAGAGAAGGGGGACATGGCTGATCCCTTGTACCTGTGAGGAGGGTGCGTCCCTAACCAGGCCTCCAGCTGCAAGTAGCATAGAAGGAGCTGTAGTTTGGGACAGGAAGCCGACTTTGTAGTTTAGTGTCCTTGAGAAATATGTGAATACTGTGATTGTTACCACCTTTCATAGCAGAAGAAACTGATTAAGGTGCCCTCCTTTTAATCTAGGGTTTGACATATTATTGAAAAATAAAACTCAGTTGAGTTATGGGTTCTACTTACTCTTAATTGGTCTTACTCATTATATAAAACATTACAGAGAATGAGCAGAAATATTGTTCTGAGATCTGTTCTAATTGTTTTACTCTGCATTGTGTGTTTCCTTCCATTGAAATGTTCTTCTTAAGTAAAAATTAATTGTATGTGTAAATGCTTCCTTTGTGAAGCAATTTCATGTGATACAAGCTGTATATTAACCTTTGTAATTTAATTTTGGATTTTTTTTTTATGCAAGTACATTGTTAAATGGTCCCACAGCCAATGATAGTTTTTTTTTCTTTTCTTTTTTTTTTTTTTGTCTTTTTCCTTTTTATCGGTACCGGGGATCGAACTCACGACTGCCTGCTTGCAAGGCAGGCGCTTATGCCGCTGAGCTAAATCTCCAGACCCTATAGTTTTTTTTTTTTCTAATATTAGAATATGTAGTGTTCTTTAGCATTACTAGGTTTAAACATATGTTCGCTGTAAGGCTAATTGTTAATGGAATCTGTATTTAACGTTATTAAGGTAAGTCTTGACAGTGCCCTGGTCTTTTCCCTCCTGGGTGCTAGTGAGTGAGTGCACAGCTCACGCATGGTTGAGGCCGTTCTGTCATCTAGCTGTGCGTCCACACCTGGGATTGTCATGCATGCTGCTGTGTTTCAGGGACTGCTGTGTATGTTTCCTCTCCTGTGTATGTGTAGGGGTGTAGATAAAATAAATCTAAGAGTCAGCAGTGTGGAGGTAGCCTTGTCAGTAGGACCAAATCAAATTGCAGACACCCACCTGTCAGATTTGGGGCCTGCCTTCTCTGGCACAGTCCTAGCTACCTGTTGGATAGAATGTTAGGTTCACCCGCTTCTTTTTAGCTGCTTCCAGCTCACTGTGTCACGAGTTCTTCCCCGTCTACTTATTCTCATTTTAGGCCTGTAGAGCAGATGCAGCCCATCAAGGACACAACCATAGGACATTGTTGCTAGAGAAAATGAAGAACATTTTCTCATTTAGTTGGTGAATATAAGCTGGTAAAATGTAGTCACTTGCCAGGCACGAGTTGGAGGTCTCTGGTGTGAACATAGAAAAGTCCATTTGCTAAAAATAGGTAGCTTCATTGAATGTTCGAGAACAACCAAATTTATTATTAAAGTATAAGAAAACGGTGTATCATGTATATTGTTGCTCTGAATTCTGTGGGTGATGCGGTTGAGGAAGTGATGTAGATGGCCGTTTCCCCAGGTTCTAGTTCTTGCTCCTCAGTTGTTGGAATCAGGGAAGGGGAGGAAACAAGAGGTGTGGAGGTTGTGGCCAAGCTCTAGAAGTAGACTGAAGATACTCATTGTTGGGGTCTTCGGTTGGGCAGTACGTGGGCCGCGGTGGGATGGAAAGCGTTAGGAGAAATACCCTTGAGGGAGGCTGTAGTTTCATGTCACTCAGGTGTGAGGGGAACTGCTACACGGGTAAATGCTCAGCTGCAGGTGTTGATGAGGAAGCCGGCAGCTTTTACATGTTGGTTATTGATTAGACGTTGTTGTCTCCTAGGGGTACTGTGCCTGTATTAGTTGTAGAAGAAAGAGAAAACCGAGGAAGAAATGGGTTTATAACTGTGACTCTCAGGCACGTGAAGATACGCTGAACTTGAGCCAGGGACCAGATTGTATGGTACTTCCCTTAAATAGAAGCACCTAGATTTTAATTTGTGGAAGATAGTGAATTGTGTTGGCAAAAAGTAAAAGAGGTGCTGTTAAATAGCTGGACTGTCAAGTTGGGCACACTTGTGCTATAATAAAGAAACTATTTATAAAAGGGGATTTTGTTACTTACATAATTTTATTTGTGGCCCAAGACAGTTCCTCATCTTCTGGGCCTGGTGGCACACACGAGTAATCCTGAGCACTTGGAAGGCTGAGGCAGAAAGATCACTGAATTTGTGGTCAGCGGGGGCTACGAAGTGAGTTCAAGGCCAGCCTGAACTACATAATGAGACTCCGTCTCAAAAAGACTGATAAATAAAACACGAAAAAACCTTAGGGAGAGGCCCCTGAGCTTTTGAAAATCCAGTATCACATTAATGTAGGTATTACTCACATTTCATTTCATCTCTTCATCTGTGACCTGTATGATTTCACTGAAATACTCTGTTTTCCTAGCTTTTGTAACCATCCTTTGAACAGCTTTATAATACTCTATCCAGAAGATACTTCCTCTCTGTATGGCAGTTCCTCTGTTTTTAGACATTGACTTCTGCTTCCCATTTTTTGGTCTTAAGAGTGTAACATAATCTCTGTGTATACAGTGTTTTTTGTATTTAAAACATTTTTTGTTTAAAAAGAGCTACCAGTGTTGAATTACTGGTTCAGATGCACTAATACTCATGTCAGTCTCTGTTCCAGGGAGCATTTCACTGCCACCAGTAATGTACAGTAAGCCCACTGTATTTGTGCTTTTGGTAGTATTGTCATTTTCAGTATTTGATGGATTGAAATTTCACCTTAAGTTTCTAATTTGATTTTTTTGACTATCAGCATTTTCATATTATTATGTTCATTATGCTTTTACCCTTTTGTGAGTTGCCTGTTCATGTTCTATGCTCTTTTAATTTATTAATGTTTTATTGTGTGTGTTTTACTATGATTTCTGTGAAATTTTTTTGTTTGTTTGTTTTTAGGGTCTCACTGTGTAGTTCAAGATGGCCTTGAACTCACTGTATAGCCTAGGCTGGCCTCGCTTGTAGCAATCGTCCTGCCTCAGCCTCCCAAGTGATGGGATTACAGGTGCGTGCCACCACACCCAGTGAACATTTGCTTTTGAGACAAGGTCTTGGAATGTAGCACAGATTGGCCATGTAGTCCAGGCTGGTGTTAAACTTGATTCTCCTGCTGCATCTTCCTGAGTACTCACATGTACCACATGTGAGTACTCGCATGTACCACAATACCAGTTCTCAATATTTTTTACTAAAAAGTTTTTAGGGGCTGGGGATGTAGCTTGGGGTAGAATACTTGCCTCGTATGCATGAAGCCCTGCATCTGATAGCTAGTACAGCACCAAGAACTGAAAAGGGTTATTGTAAAATACATACCGTAAGCTTTTACCCCTCTTGAATCTGTAGTGTGATGGCCTCCAGTGTCATCATCACCGTCGTAACTATGCCAGCACCAGGACCTTTATATTCCCCACATGGAAGCTCCTCGAGCAGCAGCCTCTTGTGCTCCCCTCCAGAGTTCTAGCAGCCACACCTACGTTTTCTGCCCAGAGAGTTTGAGAGCCTAGGACCTCCTGTGAGCATTTGTCCTTTGTGGCTGATTCTCCTTCACCGGATGTCCTCAAGGTTCTTCTGTGTTGTAGTATGTCAGTATGTTAGACTTCCCTTCCTTTTTTTTTTAATTGCTTTTTTCTGGTCTCACTGCCTTTATATGCATTTTATTTTATTTTTTTTGAGGCAGGGTTTTGCTGTGTAGTTCAGCAAGGTCTTGTCCTTGAACTGACTTGGTAGCCCAGGCTGGCCTTCAAGTCATGACAATCCTCCTGCTTAAGCCTCCCAAGTGCTAGGATAATGGGCCTGTGCCACCACGCTTGGCATACTTTTAATTTTTTACTTTTTTGCATTTAAAATTTTTGGTATACAAAATGCTAACATTCATCTTAGGGGAATTGTACCTGTAGATGGTATCTCTTGCTGCTACTTTTTCCCGTTCTTCTCCCTTTCTTTCAGCTCCTCTTCCCCTCTCGTGTGACAGCTTTGTTTCCATTATTTCCCTTCTGTTCTTTTTTATCTCGTGCCTTCTTGGCTTTCCCCCTACTACTTCCCTTGTTTCCTTTCTCATGTGAAAATTTTCTTCCCATTTCACAGTATCTATTACACATTTTGGTCCTTATTTATAGTTTACGTATTTCACACCAGAGAAACAGTGCTGTATCTGATTTATTTCACTTAAGAATATGGTCTCCAGGTGTATCGATTTAGCTAAAAATGTCTCAGGTGCTTCTCTTTATGGCAGAGTAGTGCTCCATTGTATAATAAAGCCACTTCTTCTTTATACATTCATCAGTAGGTGGGCATTTGGGCTGTTTCCAAGATTTAGCTGTTACAAATTTTGCTACTATCAACATGGGCACGTGTATAATGCTGTGGTATGAGGCTTTTAATTTTTTTGAAACGTTATCAGGAAGAGAAGTAATAGCTTGGTTGACTGGAACTGCTACTTGTAGTTTTTTGAGGACTCTCCACACTGGTTTCCACCGTGGTTGCAGTATCTATACTCCCACAAAGAGGGGGAGAAGGCT